AGTACATTCAAACTAAACCTGCGTTTTTCAAACAGCTGAGCGTCATGTTACCTCATTAGGATTCAAGCGAAAGCAAGCGGAACCACAACAACAATTTTGTCGCTCTCTGCGTCGATAAACGGCATTCGGGCGAATGCCGTTTATCCAACTCGCATATACCTCGCAACTCGCATATCGTAGAATTCGCATTCGCTTGCTATATCACGAAACAATTTAAGTATAAAAAACGTGCTTATGTCATTATAAATGCGATCTACTGTGGCAACACTGCTGCGCTTGACATTATTGCGCAATTGATACCTTTCATATCCGCACTGAGTACTTCCACCAACCAGTACCACGTCTATTTAACACGAGTATTTAAAACAACTGCAGCCAAAAAAATGCTAATTCAATACGACAACTGTACGGGTTTCTCTGTTGGGTACATAGACATTCCGAAATATTTTGAAATGGGTAATGAAGTGTTTATGAGAGCGGCACATTAGTCTGTCGATGATCGGACATAGCGTTTTCATGATTCACTGCTAGGAATTTTACATTATTTGACATGAGTGCATAGTGTTGCACGTTATGTATGTGCATATAGGTACGTAGTAGAGCTGTTTACCTTAACTCGTGCTCATCAATTATGTAATGCATCTTAAACCTCTATCGGGAACCTCTCTCTTGTGTGAAACACGCTTAATGCAGCCCCGTGCCCGCGATTAAACCGAGAAAATGCAGCAATTTCCTGCTCCTTGACGCGCAATTTTCGCCGTTTGACATGCTAATGTAAAGAACTATTTGTCCAATTTTCGATGCATAAAAGTATTAGCTCCTTTAAAGAAACATTAGTGTCAAAAGAAAATATTAAAATAGATTCCTGTCTCGGGAATTCCTTATATTACTCAACCTTTTCCAGTCCACCAAAACAGAGCGCGTTTATTGTAAATTAAAAATTACGGAACGCGATGTCCCATTAGAACGGTACATTTGCAATTCTCTTAAACGAAGTGGGCCCAAATGGCACTACTCGTCGAGGCGCGGACGCAGGTTTGAGAGAGTTAAGGCTGCGACGAAATATGACATCATAAAGTACAGAATTAGCTGAAATGGCCCGTGCGCCAGAAGAGTCGCCGCTCCCGCACCGCCCCGCACGACCTACTGCTCTACATAATCGTTATAAGTTTGTTTGGAAAAAACAATGGCTAACTATATACGTAAAATAAATTGTACTCGCCTACTAGGTTACGAAACACTGATCTTAAAATTGACTAAATTGTTTAAATAAAATTGATAACCTACTTTCTTATGATATGACTAAGAGACGGTAATTAAAACTGCGACGACAAGGGGCGCAACAACAAACGCCATCAGCGTTGCAATGCCGGGTGACAGTGCGCGTTACACGTCCCTCATTTGCAACAGCTCATCGCGTAAATCATCGCTGCAGTCGATATCGAATGACCGTAAATTACCGAACAGTAGCTTAAAAATGACGTGTAAATTTATTTCATCATCATCATCATGCGCCGCCTGATTTCACTCAGTGCTGGGTATATGCCTCCGAGTTTTCAAAAAATCAAAATCATAATCAAAATAATCAATTTCATAGGTAAGTATTATTACACTTGAAATCGTCACATTGATTACACTCTACCGCTCATTCGTAAGGCAGATTCCGCTGAGAAGAATGAACAAGAAACTCTAAGGGTTGCTCTTTGTAAATAACATTTGTACACATTCAACATTTACAATGTTTTTTTTTGCTTTCAAACATCAGAGATCGAGACTACCTCCATGAGCTAAACGGGTTACTACCACGGATTTTTGTCATGCAAGTACGCAGAAGTTGTATAATAACCTTTAGTATAAAGTTTTTGTTTCATTATAGCTTTAAACCTCGTGAAAGGCAAATTTTCTACATCAACCGGAATCTTGTTATAGAAGCGTATACAGTTCCCCTTAAATGAATTTGTCACTTTGTGAAGACGACTATCAAGAACAGCTCGTTTATTTTTATTCCTCGTATTAATGTTATGTCTATCACTATTTTTTATAAAGAGAATTCTATTCCTCTTAACATAAATTACAATTTCATAGATGTAATGTGACGCTAGTGTAAGAATATTAATTTCCTTAAATTTATGTGTCAAAGATACTCTGGGGCCCCGATTGTAAATTGCCCTAACCGCACGTTTCTGCAGGACAAAGATTCTATTGATATCGGCGGCTTTACCCCAAAGCAAAATGCCTTATGTCATTAGACTGTGAAAGTAACTGAAGTAAACCAATCCAGCTGTTTCGACGCCTGAAAGTTTCCGTATATTTTTAATCGCGTACACTGCAGAGCTGAGCCGTTTTGATAACTTACTTATATGTGGACCCCATTGCAATTTAGCATCTAACGTTATACCTAGAAATGCAACTGTATCCACAAGATTCAATTCTAACTGCAATGTTTGTAACCGTCTCTCTAACATTAGGTAATGTAAAGTTCACACAATTTGTTTTTTTCTCATTAAGGAGCAGGTTATTAACAGCAAACAAATCAACTACTTTAGATATAGTATTGTTCACATCGTCGTAGGAACATTTAGGGTTTTTTAACTTTAAATAATAATGAAGTATCATCAGCAAACAATACTATCTGATGTTTTAAACCCTCCATGAGGCTAGGTAAGTCATTAATATAAACTAAAAACAAAAATGCACCTAGAATTGAACTTTGAGGACACCCATGCTAATTGCAGACCCTGATGATCTCGTACCGTTAACATAGACCCTCTGTACTCTACCACTCAAATACGATTTAAGAAGGTCGAGGTCACGTCCCGTCACACCATAATGGCGAAGTTTCCTGACCAGAGTATCATGGTGCACACAATCAAAAGCCTTGGAAAGGTCACAGAGTAGACCAATAGCGTCATGTGAGTCTTCCCATGGATCAAATATACGTTTCATCAACTCAATACCAGTATCGGTTGTAGAGCGACACCAAGAGAAAACGAAATTGTTTAGGAGACATAAGTTATTACTATAACAATGTGCACACATCTGATTTAGAATTATTTTTTCAAAGATTTTACTGAGTGTTGGCAATATTGAAATAGGTCTGAAATTTTGGCTGACATACTACCGGATTTGAAAAGTGAAATAACTTTGCTTTGCTTCATAAGGTCAGGAAACACACAATCATCAACACATTTATTAAAGACACAGGCTAAGTAAGGCGCAATACAATCAATTATAGAAGTAATTACTCTGACTGAAAGACATCAAGGTCAGCAGTATTTTTATGTCTATAGACTTAAACGCTTTAACAATATCGTTTGGAAATACATGACGGAACCTTACGAACACATTATTATCTTTTAGTAAGGATTCAGCGGCGGTGGGGGATGAATATAACGACTTAGTAATCAAAGTTGGAATGTCAGTAAAAAAAATCAAATATTTTAGCAACTTCTGCGTCTGTGTTTACAATTTTGTCATTAAATCTCAGTTTAAAATCTAAGTAACGAGGTTTGACCCTTCCAGTTTCGCTGTTTATAATATTCCAAGTTGTTTTTAGTACATTCGCGCTGCTTTTAATTTTATTATTTATAAACAATGCTTTAGCTTTACGGAAAAGAAGTCCGTTATCTGCCCAGGATGCTGCGAGAGGCCATTGAAATTAAAAAACATCCTAACTTCAACAGGGAAGATGGTTTCTCCGTACCACCAGTTTGGGATCCAGTATTTCCTCCAATGAAAAATCCCAAACAGACATAGACTGCAGTACTAATTAATATGTTTTAGTTTATTCTAATTTCTATTAATAATTAATAATAATTTAAACTTAATAAAAATTCATTCAATAAAATAATTTGTACAACTTAATGTAGCGTAAATTGGAATGTTTTCTTTGTAAAATTAAAAATAAGGTATTTAATTAATAACTATTGTAACTATAGTGAAAAAATAGGGTGGTTTGTATTAATATTAGACGTAACTGGTTGAAGACTGTACCACCTCAGTCAACCGTGACCATGGGACCTGTAAAGGGCCCGAAACGTCGGTTTGAAAAAACAAATATACGCGATTTAAATCCGGAAAAATAGTTTCATTTTCTATGTGTAACAATCGCGAAAACCTAAGAACTCGATTATTACAGTTAATTAATAATTCCATTTCTAACTCTTTACCTTTCATGTCTTAAATATTTTCGTGCGCCAAGTGTAATATACAATTTATTTTATTTCTATGAGTTTTAGGTTGGTTTTTTACTGTCACTGTATTGCAAGAGTATTTCTTCGTTGTCTAATTACTGTCGTTTTTGTGCCACTTCCCACGGTCCTGCGCTAGTTCCATCCAAATGCGCCAAGCGACGCTAGCAGTGTCGTCTGCCCACGTCGCCGCCCGCTAAGCTCCCGACATTCTAGTACCCAATCGAAATTTATTTTACCTATGGAGTAAATGATTATTTGACGTTGACTTTGACCATACTTTGACGCAGCCGAAAGAATCAGCGTTTTTATAATGACGCCTCACGATAACCGCACCATGCTAAAATTTTCGTATTTTAATTCTGATAATATATAACTTGTCTATCAGTAGCCATTTAGTAAACCTAAGCGCAGGCTGGATATGCTCCCTTTTCTGTATTGTTTGTCGTGTATCGCGTCTCTCGAACTTCGCACATGTAGCGCCGAAATTAACAAGGTTCCATAGCACCCGCTGCGCTACGCTATTGCACTGCGAATTTGCTTACTTTCATTTTAATAACAGAGGTACATATAAATAAACATACAAAATAACGATACAAAAAATCATGATTCTCTCAAATATTTATTAATTTTACAGTACATGTCGCTGCCTCGCCTGAGCCTGACCCGGATATTTGCCTTAATGTATATTTGCGATCTTCTTGTGTTGTGAATTCAATCCTAGTTTTAAAAGTGGCGTGTGTTTGAATTTAATTGAACGTTTAAGTGGCTTCAACGAAGACTAAGGGCGCTGTGTGTGTTGCGTTTCAGTGCCATCGGCGCGCATTCTCGGCGGGCCGGACCTGCACGTGGACATAGGGTCCACTATCAACCTCACCTGCCTCATCCAGTTCAGTCCCGAGCCGCCTGCCTACATCTTCTGGTACCACGAGGACGAGGTGAGCGGCGAAAAAGTAATTATTCATTCACATTACCTTGCTACTTACTGCTTACCTATTTATTGTTTGTGTTCAAGTGTGTCCAAAATGTTGAACTATATACACAATGGTGCTGGGTCCCTCAATCTACCCCACTGTGTAATACTCAAGTACATTATTTTATATGAAATTAGTTAACTTTTTTGACACGCTCGTTATTTGTTATTTAACTTATAATGTAAATCAAGAAGGGCTAAGCGTGAGCTTCAAAAGGCGTAGGCTAATAATGAGCAGAATAATGACTAGCGATCGGCGCTAAACATGACAATGACACAAAATAATGCTGATGGCAATCGTAACCTCAAGGGCCTGCTAGCGCGATATGTTATCCTGAGACGTGTTGTTTGAACGTGGAATTGCTGCGTATGTCGCCTAACACGGCGTACACTCCAGCAATGGCGCTATAAGCGCTCCTCTCTGGCGCCGTCGTCGCGTCACGCGCTTCATTACGATGATACCCAATTTAAAGGTTCCCGCCCCTGCTCTTCCGGTCCGCCCGCGTGTCTGCTACAGGGAAATGAAGCAATATTTCCAATTGCCTTTACATCATTTCAGGTAAAGTTACTGCGACTGTAATATATAAAGAGATTGACATTACCTAGATTAAGCGTGTGTCGCCGTTGCCTGCCTCGGTGGACGAACGGTTACCATGCCGGACTGCCACGCAGAGGTCCCAGGTTCGATTCCCGTGTAATTTGTGGTTGTCTATTTGTGTGTCCATGGCACCCGCGACACAGGGTTTCCCTAGTGCGTGGTTATGTCGAGTGTGTGTGTGCGTTATTATTATTATTATTAAATGCAGATACATATGTACCGCCTATTAAATGCGAGCCGCCCAGCTAGTACACACCGCGACCTTTTCTTGCTCACAGATGCCAAATGACTGATAATAAGGCACTTGCGAAGGCGTCGTCGTGGCGGGCGCAGACACTGAAGCTTTATTAGTTGCGTAACTAATTTGCGCACGGCATACTAATACCTAGTTACAAATTCTCATTGCTAAACTAGTCGCAATGGAATTTCATCTAATAACGACGCTTTTAATTAGTTTTGTAACTAATTGTGCAATCAGAACGCTGAAGCTGGCGGTGGCGGTGGCACGGAGGTGAGGCGGTAATCAGCTATTTGTATTCATTCGTGACGACGCCACCGCCTTCAACTATTTATCTGTCTCGCGGCCCGCGGTGCTTGGCCTCGCATCGAAGGGGACCACCGTACCTTACTATCAGGGATCGGAATAGGTAGAGTTTTTTTACCTAAACTTCGAGGAACATAGACAGAAAATGGAGACTACCTTACGGCAATATTTTTTAGGTTTAAGAAGATTAAAAATTTACGTAATTTGGGACAAGCAGGTACACTGTATTTTTCTTAATTTTGCGACGCTATGTTCCTCGAAGTTTAGATAGAAAAACTCTACCTGTTCCGATCCCTGCTTATTATATTATTTGTAGCACAAGAGATCAGCACTAATTCCTATTTGACCTTAGTAGCTTGTCGATTTCAGTGCTAACAAAAAATCTTATTTGACTTGTGCTGCACAGCGAGTCTTCTTTTCAAAGCATTGAAGAAATAAGTATATTTATATCGTGTTGGCAAGTGCTGGCCAAAGAATGGACAGTTGACAGTTCAGGTTGATAGTTAAGCGCAGATCTCTTAGTAGGTAAGCCTACTGCAATACAATTGTGCGTTAGTTGTTGTGGAGCGTTGGCGTGCGCGTGACCGTGTTGTGTGTTCAGCAGGTGATATCGTACGACTCATCCCGCGGCGGCGTGTCGGTGGTGACGGAGAAGGGCGCGGCCACCACCAGTTACCTGCTGGTGCAGGACGCGGCGCCGCACGACTCCGGTCGCTACTCCTGCTCGCCCTCCAACGCAGAGGTCGCCTCCGTGCGCGTACACGTCCTCAATGGTAATAATAATTTTCATCACACTCGCTCGTAAATAGTATGATTGCATGGTGGCTAACCCTCGGGCCTTTTTTCTTTCCATTACAGACATGGCCGTTTTTTTTTTCATTTGTGGCACGACATACTTCTTTACATAGGTCAGGCTCAAATTCAAGCAAGAAAGTTACTTAAGTTCAAAATAAAAATATTCGCTTAAAATGTTATCTGAACAGAAATTGAATTGCGATTCAGCCACACACTGCATAAATACTTATTGTTAAGAATTTCTTATAATTGATTTTAATTATTTTCTGTATAAAAATTTTGCATATTTTTTGCAATCTATCATGGCTGTTGCGTCTTTGCTTTTTACAACATTTTAATTTGAGTTGTATTATCTATGGGAGAATAGCTAGCTGACCATCTTTTGACAAAAAAAAAACGCCATTTGCCATAATAATTGTTGTGTTGTAAACCATATTTGTTCATACAAGAAATAAACATTGTATTTATTTCCTCGCAAATGTGATGAAAATCATTGTATGTATCACAGACGGTAAAAAAATTAGAGATGAAACGAATATCCGGTATCCGGCTTCTATGGCCTAATTTCACTATTCGGCACAGATAATGAAACGAATATCCGGCCGGATACCGGATGTTTAACACTGAGAGAAATTCATAGTCAGTACACCAAATAAATTGATTTATTGTTTAAAGATGATAGTAATACGATAAACAGCAACTGCAAGATCGTTGACAATCTGTTTATTGCTTGAAACTGAAAGAACTATGAAGTTAGCTAACGGTATCTGTAAATTTAGTACTCAAATTTCTTTAAAGGTAAATTATGGTGGATGAAGACCAGTTGTTCTGCATTAAATGGTAAAAGTTGGTTCTATTTATTTTCAAAATCAAAACCAGCTTCAGAGGATAGTTCTCTACTATAAATTCTTGCAAACTTTATTAAATTTTAAGTATTTCTTGTTATTGTTAGATAGATAGATGTATAAAACTTTGTTGTCTTGCATCACACACAAAATAATATAATACAGTAAATTGATTAAAAGAGACACACAGGAATTAAAATGAAAGAAAATGAAATAAAAAGAAATAGAAATACAATAAATAAAAAAACATAAAAACGTAATAGTGACCTAATGATCAACAGCTCGTGTGTGCTAAAGCAAGCGAAATAGGTCGTGGCTTAGTGCAAAATTTGCCCAAAAGTAAAGCGCTGATTTTCAGCCACCACCTTCGAGGGTAGCGCGTTGCGGTGCATCAGAAACAAAAACATTGTCAAGTGAATGTAGTGTACATATGTGTTAGTATCACGTGGGTATTATGTAGATTATAAAAATATTTAAAAAAATAATAACTGTAAAAAAAATCAGAAAAAATGGTAATACATATTCTAATTGATATCATAATTAAAATAAAATAACAATAATTAGTACTTAATAGAGATGAAAGTCATTGTAACATAAAAATGATAATAAATGTCTATGAAGTAATGGGACTTCATTGTAGAAGCTATGTGAAGAGTTTAGGAATACACAGGTTTTGCCTATCAAAAATAAATTCCCTCAAATGTTTTTTAAAAGTAAACTGTGTTATTGCCATATCACGATCGATTTGACCTGTTTTCAAATATAATGTGTACCTACCTACCTATAATAATGAAAGGTGTATCTGGTATCAAGACTTAGGATTAATTAGATCACAAACAAATTAATGAAATTAAATTGAAACAAAACAATAATGAGTCTATCAAGTGCTAGGCTTATACTTGTCACAACTAGAAATTTGGATATAGCCAAAGATTGATGTAATTGCTTTTTTCCTTCTCCATCGCGAGAAATTTGCATTCGGCACAACAAACAAACAGCACAGGTATTAAAATATTGCCAAATTTGCGATTTTTTTACTGTTAACATTTTTAGTCTCATGTGGTAAAGATACAAATGAAGAGGAGCAAAACAAGCTCCAAAACAAATGAAGGATAAATACGTAACAGTTCTGTCTAGTTCTGCTTTCCATAATATTCGCAATGTGCATTTTGCAGGCGAGCGGCCGGCGGCGATGCAGACGGGCTCCGCGGGGCTGTCGAACAGCTCGTGCTGCATCCTGGCGCTGTTGTTCGCGTCGGCGCTGCACGCGCGCCTGCTCGCCGCGCTGCTCGCCAGCTGATCGCCGCCTCTCGCGTAGTTTGTTTCGGCACCGAGGACTCTTCGCGGTGACGCGCGACTAGGGAACGCTCCACATTCCTTGCACGGGACTTTGCCTTTACGATTTACACGAGATTGCGATATCACTTGCTGTATCTCCGGCCAAGGAAGCCGGAGTAAGTTGAGTGGGTTGTGTTGAGTTTACGCTCCGTGCGCACGCGACGACCGCGAACCGTCGTGACTTCGCGAAACACGTGCGAGGGTATCGAGCCCAATAAATTTTACGAAGTTTTTTGTCTAAATAAATCTTTAAGCGAAAACGTAGTTTTCGGCGAGTAAATGAAACTAATATAAAAAGGTTAGACACGTAATTGTAAGATTTTTATGAGAAGCTAATAATAATATATAGTAGCGTCAAATCACTGTGATTAATGTCTCACGCCCCGCCCCCGTCGTCCGCACTCCCCGCGCCTCATCCTTCGTCTAATCGTGTCATTTTGTCCCGAAGATATGGTGAAGGTCGTGGTGACCTGTCGCCGGCGGCGACCTCTGCTTCTGCTGCATTCGCTTCATGTGTCACGTAAAAGTAAACCATCATTCCTGCGCTTTTCGTTGGCCGAGATCCATCCCAAATCTACCTGCGCCCCCTCGCTGACCCCGCACCCGCAGTCCCCTGTAAATAACAGCTTCCTCTTCTACGTTTCGATAGAGTCACCATTCATAAGTTAAGTCGAGACGGGCTCCAAGTTTTTCTCCTCGGAGATTGTAAATACTTAATACGATAAATGTTAAAATGATGAGATTTATAATTACGTTACATGAATGCGAGATGTTTGTCCGAGTAGTATACAGAGAGAATGCGACGTTTGTTTATGATGTTTATATATTGACACGAACTAGCACAAAAATTCAAATGTTTATTTATGTTTAATATAATTCCTTATCATTGTTTAATGGAAACTATGTTTAATTCCAACATCTGTTAACTCCAGCGCAACGCGTTTAAGCGTATTATTTATTTGTATTCGTTATATTTATTCACATCGGCGATAAGGTGACAACAACATACCATTATCGAAATATCTACAAACACACGATGATTGCGCAAGAATTTAAAAAACCTGTCATGAGTTTACAAAAAACATAAATAATTTACAAAATTTAATTTATTTAATGTAAAATACCAAACTGAATAGTTAAGAGATTTTGTCACTTCATCGTCATGTGCACTGAACAGTGAATGGAATTAAATGGAATTTTGTAATTTCCACTTTATAGATTAATTGGTTGATATAAGACGGTCGGAAGATCCTAATTTTATTGCAAACAGCTACTTTTACCTGACGAACATACGTTTGGAGTGTAATTGTTAATATCAAAATAACCCAAAGAAGCTGTCCAGTTTCTTGAACAAGTTGGGTAATTACGCAGCTGGCGCAACAAATGTGCATCCAACCGTCTTCTGTTATATAATTAAAAAATATTACGTATCTATATATAAGAACTAGCAAATTGTTCGACAGTTGCTGAGAGCGTTACAAAAATTATTACAAATGTCTAATTGTAAATTTATTAAGCGTCAAGTTGTATAGAAACATAACTACTTATTGTATATACTGTAGGCAGAGTTTTACAATAACGTTGTTTTAAGTAGACCCTAATGAAGTGTATAATACGAGACTATGTGTGGAAACATGAAACTTTATGTATACATAAACCGAATAAGTTTGTTTTCAAATAAAGTATTTAATATTTAAGTACGTGGACGTTTCACTTAGATCACCATTTCATTGGTCAGCGAAGTGCCCCATAATTGTTCGGACGCGAGATGGCGGTTGTCTCAGTCTAAATAACACACCGTAGGCAAAAATCTTAAGACTGACAGCTCTCGGAGACAAACTTGTTCATATGGCAGACTTGTATAATAAAATAAAATAAATGACGTCGCTAGAAACAGGTCATGCGATACACATTCTCAACTTTGTAAATAAAAATGGTAGTTTAGTGGTTTGATAGTTTAGAACAGCCATTACTTACGCTCGTCTCTTCGAGTGGCGCAATCGCATTGACTCGACTTCAATTGAATCTCCTAAGTACAAAGAAGAATACAACAATGTCTTATTACACTACTTTACTCCAATCGAATAACTAGACTCTTGCCATCCATATATTAATCTACATACACGTCAAGACATCATAGTATTATTAATCGTAGTGTCAATATGAATATAAAGTATTTTTAAGAATAGAAAATTCTTAAGACTTTTACAGCTAGGCAGACGCGATTGGTTTAGTTACACGACGTCACGCCCCGAACGCAGGAGACGCGAGTCAAGGCCTGCGTCTAATGTTCATTTTATAAATTTATTTTTAAGGTTAACAAATGTTATCTTGAAATGAACAATATGATATGATATGTATCTTTAAACAGGTCGTGACGATAATGACCAAGCGTTTTCGTATGTAAAGCGTGTCTCGATGAAATTGCACGTTTTGTTTAGCCGTAGAACGGATCGATCTTCACTCAACATAGCCCCGCACTAGGGAAACCCTGAATCGCGGGTGCCATGGACACACACATAGACAACCACAAATTACCTACACACAAACTCCGAGAGAAATAAATGTAGGCCATACAAATATTTCTCCCGGTCCGGCAGGCTTATTACCGATATTTTGCGACCAGGCGTTTTAGCTATAGTTGCACGATTATCGCGACAAAACATAAATTCGTATTATAATACAATACCAACTTAGCAATAGCAACTGGCAGCAGTCGCGTTGCTGTTGTGCAATTAGCAACCAGTTGCTAAAGTTCGTTAATAAGCCTGCGGGAATCGAACCTGGGCCCTCTGCGTGGCAGTCCGGCATGGTAACCGTTCGGTCACGAAGACAGTTAAGGCCTGCAAGTATGTAAGCGAATGTCATGATCCTCGCATTAGTGGGCAGCCAGGTCGTCGACGCGTCGCCTCGACGAACTGCAATAATAAATAACGCAGAGCATGCCAGCAATCCTAATAATATCACAGATTCCGCACGCATGTGTCCCAATCCCAACGATACATGGAAGGCACGTGTGTACTTTTAGTATTTACATAACATTATAATAATAAGTTCATACATAATAATGTGCCATGCGATCACACCAATTGCCTGGTCTCATACTAGAGAATTCTCCGTCCTATAAGTACCAGAGGCATCCCGAATCAATTCAGAAATTAATTCCAAATTGATTCTTCCGAGAATTGAACCCGGGACCTCCACATTAACGCACACATTGAGCCACAGAAGTCGTCAAACAACAATCGTGAGTGATAATGTATTTCGTTATTTGTTTAACTGCACAAGGGTAAACTGTAGGTTCCTACATAGGCAGAAATTTCAATTCAGCCGAGCCACATCGCCCCCGCTGCTGACGGTGACGAACCGCACGATACGAGGCGCAATAATAACGAAAGAGGCGAATGGAGATGGAAAGATTAGATTAGACCATTTATTTGTCAAATATAATGTTTACTGTATAAATTGCACTACATGTCAATGTATAAGAAATTATATTGAGATCGTCAAACAAAAATTAAATTTATGAAATAAAAAATACACAATAATTATGAAATTAACAATCATTAATGGCAATATTTTTGTCATTAAATTATATAACAAATATTATTCTTCATCAAAGATCGTCATTAGTTGATACTTAGTGAGTCGACGAACAAGACGTGGCTGGCTCCAGTGCCTCTTCAGGCTTTAAATCGCAAAGATCCGAGGGACACCACCGCTGCGCCTTTCACCCTGAGACATACAAGTTGATAACTAATATAATAATAAATATACTAGAATTTAATACATATAACAAAAATTACGTAATTATAAAAGATGCTACATCTTCGTCCTCATCATCACTATCCATCAGGTGAGATGGAGGTCAAATGCGTAGTCCTTTTTGTATTAAAAAATAAGAAAAACACGGCAGTAATTGTAACAAAGTACGAATATGTGATACCTTACATAGCTCTCGCTGTTATTTTGCCGTAGGCCGTCGTGGAATAGAGCACAACAAATAAATTATATGTTTTAACGCAAATTATTCACTACTAAATACCTACAAGTAATAATAAGTTCAAATTACACGTTCAAGCACTAATTCAATTACATTAGCATAAAACTTGGGTATCCAAGTAAACAATATATATATACACAATTTGATGGCTAACACGGTTATTCGTAATTACCTAAACGGTTCAACCCAACCGGCCATCGTGTCACGGCCTTGGCGGAAGCGCAACGCCTGGGTGCTAATTGGAGATGACGAAGAGCGTATTCACGTCGCGCGTGTGAAAGGTCTACCGCTTTGCCAGGGTAGCACCTCATTGAGAACATATCTACGCCGGCATTGAACCGCTTGTCAACATTGCCACGTACAGCCCTTCACAAAAGAAAAAGGGTTTGCCGAATCACACTCGCCACGCATCATTCATATGCTAATACAAATTGGATTCGTTTTGGGTCGTCATATACATATAGCCCTAAGTACTGCCCTATCGCCACAAGTTTTGCCATTAGACATTTTTGTGAATCAATTGCTTATATTATTCAATTACAATGTAGCAAAACAGCCATCGTTTGATAAAGGAAACGAATCGTAATCGTGTGTGTGTCGCCAATTGCATAAACAGATTAGATGAAATCGTCGCCGCGCCGACAGAGCCGAGCATCGAAAGCGAGCGACGGTCACGCCATGCCGCTTAGTCGGGTAGCTAGCTGCATGCGCTGCTCGCAGCGGCGAAGCATAAGCCGGGATGAGCCGACTTGCGGCCGTCCGCGCCCCAGCTGACGGTCGCCAACGTGTGTACACCAAAAGTCGCTCGGGCGATTGTAAACGCACCAATTCGTCGTGTCCTTTTGATTCACCACACATAAAGCACGTAGAAATACGTCTTTAATTGAAAATCTTCCGTCTGTTTAGAACCAAACCAAACAAATAATTTATATAGCAACCACCAGACGTGTCAAACCCTCTTCCGAAATACGTGATGCAAGCTGAGAACATAATATAACACAAGAAACATTAGAAACATTGTAAGATAGCGTAAGGGTGCACTTATCACATCTGTATGAATAATTTTCCCATGGCACACGGATTATATTTTAACCTCGATACAATAAAAGGGAATGTCCAACATGATCAGCGACTGTCGGCACATACAGATAAGCATCGGTACAGATTACCTACTTAAATGCCCCAGCAAGATATACATAAACTCTTTTTTTACAATTGCCAAATGTAGGCATATTTTAATCTGGGTGACTTTTTCTTTGGTGCCACCCTATTGGGATGGTCTAATAATAATGGCTTTATTTCTGGAATGGCTCCTTCACGGAAGAAAAAACAACGGAAGTGCCTTAATTAAGCCTCGATTACTTCCAGATCTGTCGACAAAACTCAATTATCAATGCGTATTGATAATTTTAAACACTATGCAATCTTGTTAGTGTTTGATCCTAGTTTCTAATTTTAAAAAGTAACAAATTCTGGTTACAGTTAGTAGGTATAATTGAAGCCTTGCCTTGTTGACATACCGTCGAAAGTTCAATACCTACCTATTATTGCAAGTTACGACATATTGATATTTATATTGAAATTTCATTCACTGTGCTGCCATCTAACGTCTGAACGACGACGAACGATAATTATTGATTACAAGTAGTGTGGAAAATTCGCGATGTTGACTTAGCTCTTCAAAAAAGAAGCGACCCTATTGCAGCCCGGCAACAAATTTATTACGGCAGACACATTTTTCTACGATTTCGATATTTTGCGCGATATAATTGGCACGACCATAACCCACAAAGTGATAATTGCGTACAGAGCTCAAGTATGGGGAACTCCGCGTACTGTCGGCACACGTGCCACCTCCACTAAGCACTTCTTCTTATTATTTATTGTTCTGTCGGCTCCTTCAATTGAAGGCTCCAATGCGGAAAGGCAAGGCATGCAGAGAAGACTAAAACTTTAGCTCACGTCCTAATAAAATACGATATAACTATGTGAACTATGTGGTCGTCACCCAACACCTTTTTTGGCATTCTCGATTTCTATCAATCTAAGGGATTCCCTCTGATGATGCAGATACAAAACGTTATCATCGTCACAGTGTTCTGCTGGCGAATTCCCCAATAAATAATCAATAAAATAAAACCGCAAGAGGTTACAAAGTACAAGCACACTATTTCCAGTGCAGACTATGACTTATACCAAGGAGTACATAACATACGTTGTAAAATTTACTACGTATTTATACGGTGTGGTAGTTTTGTTTTAAAAACCTAACAGCTTAAAAATAAGGAGCCTTTTTAAAAGCAAAGAATTAAACATATTCGTTTCGAAA